AGGGACATCTCCGGAAGCCTGAGCCCCAACTAGATGTCAGATGTTGCTCTAGGCCCTGGGAATGCAGAGATGAGTGAGAGGCACTAAGACCCCTGCCCTGTAGGGGCTTTCTTTCTGATGAAGGAAGATGACACAAAACAGGCAAAATACACAAGATGTTAGACAGTGATGGAGGCTGAAGAGAGAGATAAATTGGTGTAGGATGGGGAGTGGTAGGGACTGTAAGGCCAGGGAAGGAGGACAGTTGAGCAAAGGCTGAAAGAAGTGTGCAGTGAGCTCTGTTGATAACGGGAACAGCAGGTACAAAGGCCCTGGGGTGAGAATGTGGTTGGTGTAGTTGATGGGGAGTGAGCTGTGGGCACAGAGGTTGGAGAACAGATGGAGGGTCCAGATGGTGTAGGGCTGGCAAGGCGTCTCTTTGGTGATTGCTGAGGGAGGTCTTGGACAGGGGAGGACTTTTTTTTTTTTTTTCTAATTAAGATATAATTCATGGAACAAAACATTTACCCTTTTAAAGTGTACAATTCCGTGGTTATGAGTATATTCACTATTTGTGCAAACATCACCATGACCTTGTTCCAGCGCATTTCCATCCCCCAAGAAAGGAAGACCATGGCCATTAGCAGTCCGTCCCTCGTTCTCCCGCTGCCTGTTAACCTCCAACCAGTGATCTGCTTTCTGTCTCTGTGCATTTGCCTCTTCTGAACCTTGCCCCTCAAAGGAATCATGTGATGCTCGGCCTTTTGTGTCTGGAGGCTTTTGCTCAGCCTCACGTGGAGAATTACCCATGCTCTAACACGTAGCAGGTCGACATTCCTCTTGATTGCCACGTAATATTTCTTTTCTTTTTTTTCTTAAGATTTTATTTATTTATTTAACAGAGAGAGCAAACACAAGCAGAGGGAGAGGGAGAAGCAGGCTCCCCACTGAGCAGGGAGCCTGATGCAGGGCTCGATCCCAGGACCCTGGGATCGTGACCCAAGCTGAAGGCAGACGCTTTGCCAAATGAGCTACCCAGGTGCCTGCCACATAGTATTTCCATAGTGTGGACACGGCATATTTTGTTTGTTTGTTCATCACTTGGTGAAGCTGAGTTAGTTCCACTTTTCGACTCTCATGGATAACGCACACCATTCCTATAAGAACAGTGTGTTTTGGGGCGCCTGTGGGGCTCAGTGGGTTAAGCCTCTGCCTTCAGCTTAGGTCATGATCTCAGGGTCCTGGGATCGAGCCCTGCATTGGGCTCTCTGCTTAGCGGGGAGTCTGCTTCCCCTTCTCTCTGCCTACTTGTGATCTCTTTCTGTCAACAAACAAACAAACAAACAAAAACAGCGTGTTTCCCACTCCCTGGGCTCTGTGGCTGGGTCATAGGGTAACTCTTGAGTTTCACCTTCTGAAAGAGTGCCAGACTGGTTTCCGCAGCAGCGGCACTGGGTCCCAGCCCTCGCCCCCACGCTGCCAGTGCACAAGGGTTCCAGTGGCTCCCGACGCTCAGTGGTGGTTGTCATTGTCTAGTTTTGCAGCTGTAGCCACAGCGGTGGCCGGAGATGGTGGGGTGGGAGATTTCCAGCTGAAAAGGGCTGTGATTGTGACGGGGTCTTTCAGTGGAGTAGACGGTCACAGGGGCCAGCGAGCGAGGACTGTGCCCGGTGCCCAGGGGGTGGCAAGGGGGGGCGGATGGAAGCCGTGGGCTTCAGGCTACGTTCCGAAGGCGGCACAGAGAGGATTTGCAAACACTCCGGATGGGGCGGCCTGAGAAGGACAAGTGCACAGAGGCTGCCCCCATCGCCTGAGCAATGGACAACGGAGTTTCCACTTGAGCTGCAGAAGCCCACGGTGGAGGGCCTGCTTGTGGGGTGTTTGGTGCCTGTCACTTGTGGGCAGGGACCAGTCGCATTTCAGTGTCCTGGCATCCCCGGCTGGGTAGCTTGGATTGGCACTTTGGGAGATTGATGTAAGAAAGTAGATGCCGTGATTCACGTGTATTAGAAATACCCCCACCGTCCCCGCTGGCTGAGCCCCAAATGTCACGCTAGTCGAGCCATTTGCTTTCTTCCCCTCAGAGTGCGACAGTTTATGCCCGGGGAGTTGCACGGGAGGGTGAAGGCATTCATTTTGCTGATGGGCTGGTGAACAAGGCATGTGGACTGCAGCCGGCAGGACTCTCATTTCTGAGGCCACTTAGGGGATTATCTCGAGAGAAAATTGTCCTATGAATGATTTGTGGGCATGGCGGGTTGGCTAATCCCAAGCTCCTTCCTGTTGGTTGGGAATGTCTCCGGCCTGTTCCTCCTCAGCTGGCCAATCAGAAAATGCCTTCTGGGCTTTCTCCTGCTTTGGGTCCCTGCCCCAGGAGGTGGGGGGAGTGGTGGGGGATGGAGACCGCAGCTGACAGGCAGCCATAAAGGGGACACTTTTCCCAGTCTCCAAAGAGCCTCTGGTAGTGACAGACCTCAGCTCTGCACTCTGAGTGCTCAGGGTCAAATCTGGCTTCAGACTTTATTAACTGTGTGACCTTGAGTGAGTGACTTAAGCTCTCCGGTCCTCTGTTTCCCAGTCCATAAACAGGGGGAAGGTATAGCCCCTGCTGTACTGAGTTCTTGTGAAAATCAAGGGAAAGAATCCACATATAGCACTTAGCCGTTGTTTTTATTGTCTAGTGAGAGAGATAGGTAAAGCGGCCACCTAATAGCACTTACCATGTGCATTATGTGAGGGTAACCTCCTAACAACCCTGCCCGACGGGTGTGGCGGTTGCTGTCACAGGGGAGCCCACCGAAAGGCAGAAGTCAAACCCTTGAATTCAGGTCCCACGGTTGGCCCAAGAGAAGATGGGATTTGAACCCGGGATGGACTGACCTCTCAGAACACACCCGGGTAGAGTGAGATGTGCTGCCTCTGAGGAAAAAGCTTCGGGCCCCGCCGGGGAAGGAGGCGGCCCATCCAGCTGGGGCGGGGGCGTCCATGTCCCTCTGCTGGCGTTGCCTTCCTCAGCGGGTCTGGGGTCTGGGGCTTCTGCACCTGCACTCTGGAGGGAGCCTCCCCTGCCCGTCTGTGCCCTTCTCCTGTCTCATCCCTCCCTCTGCAAGCAGAAGGAAGCGCCCAACCTTCCTGTCTCCCATGTCTGTGGCCTCTTGCCTCCTTCTTCCCTCCTTAGCACAATAAGGGTTTATTTTCCTATGATCTTACTTTTTGGGGGATGGAGAGAACTTCCTTTTGCCTCTCAGTCCTCCCTCCGCTGTGGTCCCCTTCCCTGTCGAGCCTCCCCCGTGCAGGCACAGAAATAGTCCCAGCTGTGAGACGAAGGTGCCAGAGTTTAAAATTGCAACTTGGTACTATTTTTACTCCAGCCGGAAAGATGTTGTGTGGTTTTTTTTTGTTTTTGTTTTTTTTGCACAGCCATTTATTTTGTTGTGGTAGCGACGGCTCCTGCCGCAAGCAGCGGGCCCTGGTGGGGTATCAGCCTCTCTGCCAGGACGAGGGGGCAATGAGGGGAGCCTTCAGGTGTCAGGGTGCTGGGACCAGGCCTGCCCAGAAGTGTCTGGGGTCACCTTCCTGGAGGAGAAGGGTCTGGCCCGGTGAGCCGAGCAGGTGGCTTACGTTCTCGGCGCACTTTCTTCCCAAAGGCCTCGTCGTTACAGAAACAAAACAAAACAAAAAACTGGTATTTTAGAAGTCATGAACACGGTACATACTTGAGGAGGGATAAAAAAGTTCAGGCTGATTTTTGCACAAGTGATTTGAACGGGGTGTAGACCGGAAGACCTTTCCACAGTCATGTTCAAATTGGCCCATGCTTGGCAGGACATGAACCCGTGCTGCCATTTAAAAATTGGGACATTTGGGGCACCTGGGTGGCTCAGTCATTAAGCATCTGTCTTCGGCTCAGGTCATGATCCCAGGGTCCTGGGATCGAGCTCCGCATCAGGTTCTCTGCTCATCAGGGAGCCTTCTTCCCCCCCCATGCCCCCGCCCTTCCTGCCTCTCTGCCTACTTGTGATCTCTCTTTTTCTGTCAAGTAAATAAATAAAATCTTTTTTAAAAAATGGGACAATTTCCATAACATTAAGATTCCTGGCTTCTCTTGAAAAACACAGCCCCGAGTCTGTGTTTACTGATGGCTGCTGGCTGTTCTAGATTTGGGCAAGCACTTTTCAGATCACCGCAAAGCCCCGGAGGCCTGCTTTACTCCTTGATGTCACTCATGATGTAATTCCCCAGCCCCGGTACCTCAAGGTTTGGACCCTTCGGATAACATAAAGCACTCGAGGCCCCCTTGTCAGACCCTGTTCCCCAATTCCTACTCCCCAGGGCCAAGGACGAGCCATTAACAGGTTGCCAAATAAAGTAGGGGATGCCCAGTTCAATTTGAATTTCAGATTGAATGATCGTTTAGTGGAAGTTCATTTCCTAATTATTAGCAGTTTGGTCTGTACGGTTCCAGGCCTTTCTGGTAAACCACATATGTCCTTCGTGCGTTGTTAGGAGGATGGGTTTCTATTTCCATCTCTTCTGCATCTTTTGTGCGCTCTCCGTAGTATTTGTTAGGGGGCGTTTCTCACGGTGTGTAAGACCTTTGAGGCTGTGGACTCAAGCTCAGTGAGAATCCTGGGCCCCCCCACCTGCTACCTGTGTGACCTCGAGCAGGCTTCCCTTGCCCCTGAGGCTCAGTTTCCTCATCTGAACAATGGGATGATGCGGATAGCTTTGTCCTGCTTCCTGCTAGTTTTCACTCAGCTCCTTCCTTGTGACATCTGCTCGGAGTGGATGGCCGGTGGTGGCTTTAACCAGGTCTCTGTCCAGGGGCGTCAAGATTGCCGCCAGCTTATCACGATTTTAAATGAGGCTAGGAGAGATTTTGAAAAGGGAAGGGAGGTCTGAAGGGAACTGGGCAGATAATCCTAAGATTTAGTTTGCTTTAAAAAAAAAAAAAAAAAAGTGAAGGGCGTTTGTCTCCCTGGAAACCACTTGCTAATCTCCAGAATATTGTCTCTTTTCAGGCGAAGGAGGTGGAGGAGACCATCGAGGGGATGCTCCTCAGGCTGGAAGAGTTCTGCAGCCTGACTGACATGGTGAGTGCCTGCCTGAGAGGCGTGGATTTAGGCCCAGGCCAGACTCCAGGCCCTTCCTGGGGTTTTCTGGGGAAGCCATTTTGGTGGTGATTTAGCAACCAGAAAGAATGGGGCAGCAGCCAGCGGTGAGAGGAAAGCCACACACACACTCTCTCACACTCTCTCGCTCTCTCTCAACACCAAGGCTTCCTGAGGCGGCCATCTTGGTAACGCCCATCCCCCCCAGATGGCTCTTATTCCACCGAGGAGCCTGGAGTGGGCCACCAGGTGGCACTCTCGGGCACCGATGCGGGGAGCCATTCAGCGGGGATGCTAAGACTATATTTAACTTTCGGCTCTGCACGGTCCGCCAGGCAAACATGGAGACAGCCAGGAAATGGCTTCAGGCCTGCAGGGCCTAGAGGAGCGTCCAGCCCAGGCTGTAGCCCGAGGCAGGGGTGGGCATCAGGTTCCTTCCCAAATCCTCTTGCTCTCTTCGCTTTTGCCTCCTACTCTGTTCTGTTGGATCAAATCCCCTTGGCTGGTGGAGAAGATGGAAGATGGTGCCTTAGGCCCAGAAGACAAGGTCTCCACTCCAAATTCTGTAAAAATCTCTAGATCCTTGTGTCCCCAGGATGGTAGCCAGCCAGGTGTGGGGCCCTGAGGAGCAATGATAGAATTTTCTAGAAACTTTCAGCACCCTGGGTTGAAGGCTTCTGCCCAAAGGCCCAAAGGGCAGAGTTCCATATTGTGGTGAGGCCCTGCCTGTCCCCGGAGCAGAGGAAGCCCGGCTGGACCCAGTGGGGTAGATTTGTGCCCCCGTGAAGCAGGTGTCTGGGGAAGTGTTTGTGAGAGCCCAAGGGTGTAACAGTAACAGCAGCCTCAGACATACTTGGTGCCGGGCACGATGCGAAGCGTTTTTCCGTGTCACCCCATTTCTCCTTGAAGCAGAGTGAGACGATGGGCGCTGTGTCATCCCCATTCATTCAACAGACCTACCTCATGCCACCCTCTGGGAACACAGCAGTGAACAAGACAGAAACATCCCCAAGAGGACCTGTATGTGTTTCTCTCTTGAGAACCAATTTTCTAGTTTGGGTGTGGGTCCGGGTGGGAGCCTGGTAGTGAGACAGACTTTATTGATTGATTTATTTAGATTTTATTTATTTATTAGGGAGAGAAAGAGAGAGAGCACACGGGTAGGGGGAGAAGCAGGGGGAGAGGGAGAAGCAGACTTCCTGCTGGGCAGGGAGCCTGACCTGGGACTTGATCCCAGGACCCTGAGATCACGACCTGAGCCAAAGGCAGGTCCCACTGACCCACTGAGTCACCCAGATCCAGGAGCCCTGAGACAGACTTTAAACAGCCCGGACAGTCCTTCCTTCATCACCAGCCATTGGACACCTTCCCTGACTGGGCTCCTTGGTGAACCTGAGATTAAAGAAAGATTCAGCTCTGTCTCCCATCCCCCCTGCTGCAGGAGTCCCCGTGTGACCAGGGCTGTCACCTAGAGTTGAGGCACCAGCCTGAAGCTGTGTTCAAGGTACAAAGGGAGACTGCAGAGGTTTTGAAGAGGGAGAAGAGGGTCTAGAAGGAACTGGGCATATGATCCTACGACTTAATTTGCGTTTTTTAAAAAAAAGAAGAAGAAGTAGAAGAGCAGAGGCGTTAAATTCTGCCTGGAAAATTGGGAAAGCTTTGCCGAACAGGTGGTGATTAATTTGGGGCTTGAAGAAGGAACAGAAAGAATTCAGCCGCTGGGGAGGGCAAACATCCAGGCAGAGGCACTGACCCATGGGTATGGTGTGCTGGCACAGTGTGGACCATGGGGACCCACAGGCAGGGGGTGGATCTGGAAGATGGGTGGACAGGTGACCTAGGGACACTTTGTTCTCAAGTTCAGCCATCCTGCCCCTTGAAAGGAGACCCACTCCCTGCCTGAGGGGAGAGCTTGGAGCAGGAGTCAACCTGGATGGGCAGAGGTGCTCGGCCACCCTGCCTTAGAAACTGTCAAGGCTTCCTGGTGTGGCAGGGGGGAGCCTGTGTGTGTGTCACCTGGAGTCAAAGGTGTCAGGCAGTGCTGACAAAGCCCACCCCTAACCAGAAGCCTGGAGATGCATTTATGCAAAGATTTTAAGACTGAGATCACACACGACCCATGGGCCCAGTCCCACCTGCAGATATGTTAGATGTTTCTGGAAGGAAAAGCAAAAGGAATTTGCTGCTGACATTTATAGAATGTCATGCAAAAAAATCAGGATTTCTGGCTTCTTTTGGAAGAGCAAAGATCTGGCTCCCTTGGGGTATGCTTGGTCCCACCTGCCCAGCATCAGCAAGGGTGGCTTCGTGTCCTCCCCACTGTGGACAGCATGTGAGCTCTCCAGCTGGTCACTGTCCACGGTTCCTATGGGGGCTCCCCGACTCCATGGCCACCTGCCAGGTATATCCGTCACGTGCTTGTGCGTTTTATGGCAGAGTATGTTTCTCTGTACTTTGGGCCCTATTGAAAGCAGGAAAATGAAACCAGACCAAGAGGGTCCTGTGTTTCAAGAAAGGGAAGAGAGTGGGTTTCCCATGGGAGGGAAGACCATCTCATGAGTTTATATGTAAACAAGTGTGCCTGCATTAAGAGAACATGTCAGGTATGATGCTTTTTTTGGCCCCTGCCACAACGCTCAGTGCTGACGCCATTTCGATTATGGAAATCCTCCTGCCCCAACGGGTGAGGCTCAGTTTACCTCGAGTGTGTGTCCACATGGCACAGAGAGAGGCGTCCAGCTCTCGCCTTGGCTTGGGACCTCGTTCTCTCTTTTGATCCAAGCTAGGAATAAGTGGGGACCTCGGGGGAGCAGGTGATGTCACAACACGGACACTGTCCGCTGGGTCCCTGCATTGGCCTTTGGAAACACTGATCACATTAGAAATCTGAGAGATGCCAGGCTCCCTGCACAGTCCAGAGAGAAGCAGCTCTGTTTCCGATCAAATCAGGCTCTTAGAAGCAAGAGTCCGGCTTCCTGTCAGATGTATTAGCTCCACGGTCACCCTGTCCCTGACCACTCTGTGTGGCTGGAATTCATGGCCCTGCGCCTACCACCTGTTTAGACCTTAGATATAATGCTAGTCACTGCCACTTTGAGCTCTGACTCTTCCTGCTCTGGGGCCTTAGGCATAGCATGTCCCCTCTTGGTGCCTTTCTTTTCCCTTCTGTAAAATGGACATAATGGTCCATAATGCATCACACTACCCCAAAACTTAGAGGTGTCAATCAACAACCAATGTATTGTGCGGGCAAGGGCAGGGCACAGAGGGGATGTTTCATCCAAGCCACATGCCACCTGCTGGGGCAGGGATTTCCAAGGTGGCTGCTTCTCTTGCTTGTGATGTCTGGGCTAGGAATGCTGGGTGGCTGGGGACAGGCTGGTGTCACTTGTCCCCGTGCAGCCTCTCCTCGGGGCTAGCTCGGGCTCCTGCAGCGGGGCATCCCGCCTCCCGCAACAAGCGATCCGACAGATAGGAAGTAGAATCTGCCAGTTCTCTGGAGGGCTCGGGATGGAAATTGACACAGTCTCACTTCTGTCCTGTTTTACCCGGTCGAAACCATCAGGTAGTACACCCAGATCCAGGGGGAGAGGTCCCAGACCCCTGTGTCCGTGGAAGGAATGGAAAGAATTTGTAGCCCTCTTTAATCTGCAAACCATGTCCTTCTCCTAAGAGTTGCAGCGCAGACTCGATGAGGCAGGGACGTGCCCATTACATCCTCTAGACTGCCCACAACAACAAAGACCGACAGTACCAAGTGTGGGCGAGCGTGGAGCCCAGAGACACCCGCTCACACGTCGGTGGAAGCGCAAAACGGCCCGGCCCCTTGGGAAACAGTCTGGCAGATTCTTACCAAGTCACACGTGCGCTGACCCTACGTCGGTCCCAGCAGCTGCAGTGCGAGGTGATTACCCGAGAGATGAAAATGAGAGTCCGCAAAGACCCGCACACGAGTGTTCTGAGCCGCCTTGTTCATGATGCCCCAAACCGGAAACAACCTTTTTTTTTTTTTAAGATTTTATTTATTTATTTGACACAGAGTGATCACAAGTAGGCAGAGAGGCAGGCAGAGAGAGAGGAGGAAGCAGGCTCCCTGCTGAGCAGAGAGCCCAGTGCGGGGCTCGATCCCAGGACCCTGAGATCATGACCTGAGCCAAAGGCAGAGGCTTAACCCACTGAGCCACCCAGGTGACCCCGGAAGCAACCTTAATGCAGAAGAGTGAAGTGGCCCGAATTCCGTGGGCGCCTCTCCTGAACGTGAAGCGGGGGAAGGAGTCAGACATGGAATACCTGGTGTCGGAAGCTGGGTCATGGTTCGCCCCAGGAGGGCGGTCGTGACCGGAACCTCTTCGGTGATGGGACGTCCGACACGTTGGCCGGGGTGGGGCCGGCACAGATGCGGACACACATACTCGTTCACCCCGCCGTCTGCTTGAGGCCGGGGCCCTTCGCTGGCCGTCATTTCCTATGTTCAGTTAAAAATAACTGCTTAGCCAGGTGCCAGGTCTGTAAGAGGTGACCCACGTGTGGTGGCTCCCAAGGTCACCGTCGTCATCACCAGAGCAGCAGAAGGTCGTGACACCCAGGAGGATTTGTACGGCCTTCAGCTCAGTGTCCTCTGGAGCTTGGGCCCCTTGTCCGGGCCCTACCTCCCTGGCAGGGAGCAGGCTCTTGCTTTGCTCACGAGGATGGAGAAAATTCCTTGTTGGCCTTGGCCCAGTACTTCCATTCGGCATTGGTAGGAGTTCTTGGGCCAAGTGCGCTTGGCTGTCCTTCCTGGAGGCCCTGAATCATCCTGGACAGCCGTCTTTGCTCAGTGAGAACCCCCGTGTCCGCTGGCCAGCTCTGGGGAGGTGGGAGAACAGGCTGGAGAAGGGTCTGCTGGGTGCTCAGGCGGGTCAACCTGGCTAGGGGTTCATCCTGTGGCAGAGGCTCAACCCGCATTGGCTCTTTGCTGACCTCTCTTTGCTCAGATGCGTGTGACATGAGCGTGTGAAGTGGGCGTGAGGACAGAAACGTCTTGCTTTCCTTTGACTCCCCTATAAGAAGAGAACACACAGGGTGGCCACAGACACCGGGGAGACTCTAGGGAGTGGTGGGGACGGATAACCAAAGGAGACAGCTGTCACCCAGCTCCAGGTGATTGCTGTCAGATGGGACATGGACCCAGGATGGCCAGGTCCTCTGCTTTTTCACAAGAAGCTAGATTTCTGAGCTTCTAAGGGAAATATGCCTCATTTTAGATTGTGGCGCCTGGTGTGGGTGCGCTTTGGTTTTTTCAGACGTGACGTGGGCTGTCTCCGCAAGGCCCTGCAGAACATGCGTGTGGACCTCTGATGTCACCGGTAGCCTCAGACCAACCAGGATGGGAACCTGCCATCTCCTGCATGGTAGCCTGTGACCTTGGGCCGGCTCATTTTGTCTTCCTGTCTTTGCTTTGTCCTCAGCCAGGAAAGGTTGAAGATAAAATCGGTTCTGAGTCACAGGACCCGTTCTCAGCATGTGGTGAAGGTTTGTGGAGCGCTGGCGTGGTGCCCCTCCAACCCTTATTTTCACCTTCCAGTTCCCAGCTCACAGGGGAGCCACAAGAAATGTTTGGGGGCCGTTCAGACCCTGAGGATTACTCTCTACTTTCCCCCACACACATGCAGCCTGCCATCCGGGCGGGTGTAGCTGGCTCCCCATTGCCCACGAGTCCCGTGAACAGGTGTCTTCAGAGAGGGGCCTTCTTGGCTGGCCCAGACCCTCTCTTCCTTGGCTTCCTTCAGAGCTGGCGGAGGGGAGGGATAAGCTCTGTGAATCTCCTCTCTGCACCATCCCTTCTCTCCGGTGGGTGGGTCACTAGGACCAGACCCTCCTGATTTTCTTTGTTCTCACCCTACTCGTTTCTCTAGAAAGTAGCAGAAAGAAAAGATTTGTGTTTGGTCCACCATGTTCTAACCCTGCCGTGAGTTATCTGCTCTTTGTTGCATCATCGAACCTTGGTGATTTCTCCAGTTTAGCCTTGTTGTGGGGAGGGCAGGGGGGAAATGGGTATGTCTCTAGAGATTTGGTCTTGGGGGAGGAAAAGGAGCATAGTGAGGACTTCTCCCCAACCAGGGTAAAAAATGCAGGTGCCCGTGGGAGCCAGGCAGGATCTGGACCCGAGTGAAGGGGTTTGGGGGTGAGGCATTAGGGAGGGATGGTGACTGTGTCCCAGAGAGCTCGTGCCCCACCTCTGGGGGAGCAGCCCCTGCTCAGCCCAGCCCTCCGTGCCTGGGAGACGTAGGCCCAGTGTTGCCACAGGGGCAGACTTTTAAGACACCTTGTAAAGCCGTGCTTAATCACTGGAGCATTTTAAAGCCATGTTTATATGTTTTGTTTTGCAATAGTTTTAGATTTATAGGAAGCGTGCAAGGATGGTACACAGGGTTCCCACATGCCCTCTCCCCCTGCCTCTCCCCGTCCCCCACCCCCACCCCGCCCCAGGGCTAGCAACTCGCATGGCCATAGCTCCTTTGCTGGAACTGAGAAACCAGCAGGGGCGTCTTGATTTTCATTTTGCAGGCTTGCCACAAATGCCCTCTTTCTTGTCCAGGATCCCACCTTGCTTTCAGTCATCCCCTCCACGTAGTCTTCTCCTCCGTGACTTTTCTGTCTTTCCCGGCATCTCATGACCTTGACCATTTTGCGGAGCTCTGGTCAGATATTTCGTAGAAGACCCTTAGCTTGGCTTTGTCTATTATTTTACCAGTGGTTGGCCGGGGGTGGCGGGTTTCTGGAGAGAATCCGCTGAGCTAAGGGGCCTTCTTGTGGCATCATGAGGGGCACATGGCCCCCGTGGTCCCCTTCCTGTAGCTTGTGTCCCATTGTTTCTTCCTGACAGACTTGCATGGTTTCATTTTGTCCTTCGGGTTCAAATCCCATATGGCCTTACATTTTCTGTTGTCCCGATAATTCCAGCTTCGGTCATTTGGTCTTTCTGGTTGGCTCCTGTGATCCTTTGACAAGCCCCATCCTTTATCTTTGCAGACGCTCCCTTACAGAGTGCCTGGCTGGCCCTGGTTGCCTGTGGACCACTGACGACTCTGGAGCTCAGGGTCATGAGTTTGAGTCTCATGCTGGGTGTAGCCATAACCTAAGGAAAAAAAAGTTTAAAAACAAACAACAATCACGTACATTCTGGCACCAGAAGATTCTCCAGGGCCTTGTCTTGCCTACCCCAGCTCTAGAATCAGCCATTTCTCCTAAGAACCCCTCTTGACTCTTAAAGTCAGAAATTAAGTCAAATTAAAAAAACTCAGACAATTTGCGAGCCGCACAGGGTGCATGTGTGGGCCCCACCCAGTCAGAGATGGTCTCGTTTAACCTCCAGAGCATTCTTTCAAGAGAAGTACTTGTATGGTACCCATCTTATAGACTAGGAAACCAAGGCACAGGGAGGTCAGGGCTAAGACAGGCCAGGTGGCATGATGCTGGATGCCAGCCTCTCAGAACCTGTCTGTGCCCTTGTGGGGCCAGGGCGTGGGACAGGGGTGTACCCAGGACAGTGACTTGGAGCCAGGTGCCCAGGGAGACGGCAGCTCTGTGACCAGAGGAGGGGAACCAGGAGGGGAGAGTTTGGTTTTGGACACTCAGGGGATGGGGTCGCTTCTGAGACCCAGGGAATGGGGTGGGGAGTGTCATCCCGCAGGGCGACAGGAGCAGAATTCTAGGAGGACCACAAGAAGCTTCATACATTTAGGCAGGAAAAGGAGGGAAAACAGAAACAGTTTTCCAATCATTTCTGAAATTTCAGAATTAATTTCTGAAATTTAAAAAAATGTATTGAGTTATCGCTGTGTTTGTTATTTCCTGCTGGGTAACACACTGTCCCAAAACTCTCGGTCCTCACTACCTGGCAGCGCCGGGGGCTCAGGCCGCCGCCAGGTGGTCCGTGGGGTCCTGCTCACGCAGTCCTGCTCACCTGGCAAGGTGTTGGTTCACCCCAGGCAGGACCGCGGGTAGCAACAGCAGCGGTTGCGTGGCCTCCATTCTGCACGGGCAGGTGGCTGGAGGCTGCCCTCTGTCCCCAGCCACGCAGCCTCTCTGCCATGGCAATTGGCTGGCAATGGAGAGGCCAGGTGAGAAAGAAGATGGGGGAGGGAGGGAGCACACATGAGCAAGAGAGAGAGAGAGAGAAGGCCAGCAAGCTGGAGGGACAATCTTCTGGAACCTTGTCTCCAGAGTGACCTCTCTCCTTTTGGCTGAGTCCTCTCTGTTAGAGGTCAATCTCCAGGGCTGATTCCTAGTCCAGGGGAGGGGACCCCACAGGAGGCAGTAGTCACTGGGGACCATGTCAGGCGCCGCCTGCACGAGCCACACCAGGCACTCCTGCCAGACGTTGTCTCCTCACTGCACGCCAAGGAAGCAAGGACCACCGCGACTGCTTCCCCGTCCAGAGAAGCAAAGCAGGGCTCAGAGGGGTGCAGTGACTTGCCACAGTCGCACCGCTCACGGTGGGTAGACCCGAACTCACACACCAGGCTGAGCCCTGCGTCCAGCTCCTAGCGTCCCCACCGGTGTTCTCCGACGGTCCCTGCCACGCCCCGACTCCAGCGCGGCTTTGGAACTTGCCTGAAAACACATTCCCAGCTGACCCCACACAGGGAGGGGCCCAGGAATCCGCACCGGGCGGGTCTCCCTCGGGGGACCCCTGATGCTCCCTAGCATCCCAGAGCGAGCTCCGCCGCCTCCCTGCTCCGAAAGGAGATGCTAACGTGGAGACGGTCTCTCTCTCTCTCTCTCTCGCCAAAGGGTTAGGCTTGGTCCTTTGGCTTTTGAAAAAAATCGAGGCCTAGGTGTCCGATTTCGGAGATCAAGGGAAACATGTGGCTTTGTAAAGGTCATAGGCACTTTTGGAGCGCTTCCAAGCAGAAGCAACATGAGATGCTGTGTGGGGGGGACGCTCGGCGCGGCGTGGACAGACACGGCGCCCTTGGATCCACGGAGCTGCGTTTTCCATTCGCGTTGTTCACGGACGTCAGTAATCGCGGTCAACTTAGTACCGTTAATTTCAGTGCAGTGACAACTCTCAACTTGGGTTCCAAGGAGACACTAGGCTTCTCTCCATTGGCTCCGGCTGAGTGGTTCGGAAAACGGGGCCCTTCCGTCGGGCACTGGTATCGTCAGGTGTTTGTGGGGGAACCAACTGGTGGTTCAGTAAGTAACAGCTGGGTAGCTCTGGGGCCTGAGAGGCCGTGGGCTTGGCCCCCACCTCGGACTCTGGGCTGTTCCCGGGCCCATCCCTGTGCAGGACGCCACCAGGTCTCGGTAGACCCCGGCGGGCCGAGCGGCGGGCAGGAGCCTGGGGTACCCGGGCAGGGGGGCTGATGACCTGTCTTATTTCTTGCAGATCAGGAGTGACACTTCACAGATCTTGGAGGAAAACATCCCGCTCCTTCAGGCCAAAGTGACAGAAATGCGTGGCATCTATGCCAGAGTGAACCAGCTAGAGGTGGGTCCGGGACTGTGAGCTTTCTTTGTGAGATCCGTGGGATCATTCTGGGTCTTTTGTCCTGTCTTCCGAAACGCTGATCTGGCCTCGAGAGTGTCAGGTGTGGAGACCCGGTGCAGAGGCTTGGTGGCAAAAGAGGGTCTGCATTTACGTGGTATTTTTTAAAAATACGACAAATACAAATTTATATAAAGTACCCCACTTAAAAATCAGGGTACTTTTAAAAAAGAAATCTGACTTTTAAGCTGCTTTTGTAAAGTCAAAGCTTGGATAGCACTTAGCCCACATTTCTTTAAATACTTTAAATACTTTAATCTTGAGGTTTACTTCTTGAGGTATAAATACATAAAGTCTACACATCGTAAGTGTATGGCTTAGTGAATTTTACACACATAAACTCCCCTATGAGGATGACCCACATTGAGAAGCAGAACGTTTCCAAGCCGTGAGCTGTGTTTTTGTGGAGCCAATGGCAGGCACCCCTCAGGTGGGGCCTGTGTCCCGAAGCTGACCGCAGTCCCCACCATGCCCTGTTGCCTCACTGCTGACTTACATCACCTGCATCCTTTTTGTGGAAGCCCCAGCAGATACCTCAGGGTATCTCCTTTTTCTCCTTGCTGCATTACAAAGTCGGCACCCTCCCTGTCCCATCTCCCAGAGGGCGAGCATAAACTCCAAGAGGGAAGCCACTTTCCCAGTGTCCTCCCACTGATGCCTTGAAGCTGAGACTTTCGCTGGCATCTGCTGGAGCCCAAGCTCTCCATCATCCTGGGCCGCTCCGCCTGGGGTCCTGGATCCTTACACAGGAAAGAACCCGGGAGGCTGGGAGGAGCTTGCCACTTAAGCGTGGTCGCCTGGACAGAGGGGATGGGAGCACCGCCCCCCCCCCCCGAGCCACGGAGGAAAGGAACATGGCAGTCCAGCCTGGGGTTAGCAGAGAGTTAAACTTCTTGTCAGCAGAGGATGAGGCAGGAATATAATTAAAACTTTGCCCTTGGAATAGCTGATTCATTTGAATTTTATTCCACACATTTGACAGAGGAAAGAAAATGTGAAGATTTGAAGCCCTCCCTGGTTCTCTCCTCCTCAGGCTGGCCCGGCTCTTCCCTGGCAGTCAGTCCACTAATACTGAGGACCTACTGTGTGCCACTGAGGGGCTCTCCCAGTGAGACAGGTGCCATCCTTAGCCCTGCTCCAGCAGGAGAGACCCGACCTCAAAGCACTGCTGTAACAGTAACAGATAACCACAAACCTAAGGGCTTAACACAACACGGATTTGTAGCTTACGATCCTCCCGAGGCTGGAAACCCAAAATGGGTCTTACAAGCTAACACTGGGCTGTCAGCAGGGCCGGTTCCTTTTGGAGGCTCCAGGGAGCCTCCGTGTCCTGGCCTTGTCCACTGTCCAGAGGCAGCCTGCTTTCCTTGGCCCACAGCCTCTGCCTCTCCTTCCGCCCGACTCGTAGCTCCTTCCAGACTCACTTTTACTCTGCCCCTCCTGCTTCCCTCTGACAAGGGCCCTGTGACGACATGGGGCCCATCCAGACAAGCCAGCATCGCCTCCACATTTCAGGATCTTTCATCCCTTCCGCGAAGTTCCTCTTGCTCTGTAAGGTGATCCAGTCATAGGTTCAGGGGATAAGGACGTGGACCTCGCTGGGGGGACATTCAGGTGCTCGGTGAGGACCACCGCTGCTCTGCTGGTTGTTGGCACCGGCCGAGAGCAGAGTCTGTCTGGGACGGCTGCTCGCCGCTCTGCCCAGTTGGCCGCAGACCCCTGGCTGTCTGGGGGCTGGGGCGGGGGTTAGGGCCTTCCAGGGAGCTCAGGACCACCCTCAGATCAGTGCCACCTACCAGGAGGGGCTTGGGGACCGCAGGGTGACCCCTCAGGCAGGCACTGGGCCTTTCTCAGGTTTAGTATTAAAAACGAACCATACAGGGCACTTGCTGCGAATCAGGAACCCCAAGTGCTTTCCCAGGGAGAAGGCACTCTATCGGCCAGCAGCCCCAGGAGCCAAGCCCTGTTATTGGTCCCATTTGGGAGAGGAAGCAGGGGAGGCACAGAGAGGGGAGGTGGTTTGCCCACGGTCACACAGCTGGGAAGTGGTAGGGTTGGGGGGTGCAGACATCTCCCGACTGCTCCTCTGTGCCCAGTGTTGGCTCTCCCGGCTGGCCAGTGCCCTGGTCTGAAGCCGGGGCCTTTTGTCAGAAGTATTTACGCCCATCAGCACTTACCAATACGTTCAGAAACAAGGCGGAGTTTCCTCTTTCCTCCCTTCTTCCCTCCCTCCTGATAATGAAAGTCGCACATTTTCATCCTAGAAAAGACGAGATAGGTGTCCCCCCTACTCCCAAGGTGCAGCCCTCAGACCGATGTCACGAAGGGGTTGCCCTCCTGCTGCCCCTGCCCCGCCTGTGCCGGAGCCTCCCTGAGTCGGGCATCTCCCTGGACGGCGGGTCCTTCAGCCTCAGGAACATGCATTCCTCGGTGTCCCCTCATGCTCCCCACCACATTGGCGTCACCACGGGGAGGACAGGGAGGACGGACACCACGGGACTCTGTGCTGGGTTTCACAAGCTGATGCCTCTTGGCTGGGGGGCAGCTCCCGGGCCCCGGGACCCCTTGTCTCCCGTCCCCCCGAGATCTCATGAGGCTCATTGGACCTTTTAGCTGGCCCCACCGGCAGCCTGGGGTGGCAGCCATGCCACACCGTCTTTTTGCTCAGGACGCCCTCGTTTGCACATGCTCCCCTCCACATCTCCACCATCCAGCAGAGCCCCTGCAGGCCGACCGGCCTCCGGGGTTGGCCTCGTGAACAATATGGACTCCACACCTGACCTTTCAGGACCCACATGCTAGAGGCAGATGGGTTATGAATCAGCAGACAGGAAGTTCAGAAGGGCTCAAGAGGGCTAAGAAGACAGGGACATTGGGAGTCTCCAGAGTGCCGGGGGCTGTGGTAGATGAGGTAGTGAGGGCAGGCCTCTCTGTGGAGGGGACAGTCAGGCCAGGGCCTGAGAGAGGGGCCGTGTTCACCCCACCAAGGACAGAGAGCAGGGCACAGCCTGGAAAGAGCAGGTAGAAGGGTCCTGTGGCGAGTGGGGCCTGTGTTTTGGAGGAACCCAAGGGAGGCCTGTGTGCCTGGTGTGCAGGAGGAGGAGAGGGCAGGGCTGGGTATGGGGGGCTCCTGGTACACCTTGGGGGCCATGAGCTTCCTTCTACTGAAGGGAGGCTCCTCTGTAGGGCCCAGCCCTGAGATGTCCTCCTTCTTCCTGCTGAGAGAAACTCTCTTCCAGTCCACTGTGGTTCAAGGGAGGCCCACAGAGGTGAGGCTCTTCTGACGCAGCTCTGGAGTCGCTACCTTTGGTGGCCTTAGCCATGTATGCATGCAACACACAAACACATTCACACACGTGAATACATGCACACGCAAACACAGGCACACACACGAACACAGATACACACGCGTGAACACGCACACATGTGAACACAGACACACACGTGTGCTCAGTGTAGAGAAAGGCATGCAGAGAGACCAAAAGTGGGTTAAATTTTTCTGGGCCTACACAGTATTATTTTTTTAAATTGTGAATTTATTACTAGTGTGGATTAAAACGGGAGACTTCTCATAAAATCAACAATTTTTTTTCAAAGCGAACCCGGACATTTGTTTTTTTTCTTTTTAAGATTTTATTTATTTATTTAACAGACAGAGATCACAAGTAGGCAGAGAGGCAGGCAGAGAGAGAGGGGGAAGTAGGCTCTCTGCTCAGCGGAGAGCCTGATGCGGGGCTCGATCCCAGGAATCTGGGATCATGACCCGAGCCAAAGGCATAGGCCTTAACCACTGAGCCACCCAGGCACCTCGAACCCAGACATTTCTCGAGCTCAGTGTTGCTGATCACCTAACTGCTTAGCAAGGTTGTTATTGTTCGTAGTCAGGACGGCAATATCAGCACTGTCTCAGGGATAAGGAAATTGAGGCTTGTAGAGATTAAGTAAATTGCCAGAAGGCACGCAATTAGTAAGTGGCGGAACCTGGATTCTAATCCACAAAGTCTGACCCCAGACTTCTCTCCCTCCCTCTCCATCTCTCTCTCTCTCTCTCTTTTTTGCAACTGGGAATTTTGTGTCAGAGGCCCTGCATGGAGTGGCCCCTATGGGCCTGGACCCAGCTTTCTGGGCCGTCCTGGCCTCCCCTCCGCCCTCCTTCACCTGCTAGTCTCCTGCCTGCCCCGTGCGGCCTCTGAGTGTGACTCTGAAAGCCATCAAGTATGAAAGTGAGCATTTTGGAAATTTCTAAAACTCGTTTCTAATACAGAAGGCTTTGAGGTCTGGGGGAGGTGCCCCGAGTCCCCTCTCGGCCGCTTGTTGGCCAGGCAACCCGACCTCTCTGAGTCTCAGTGTCCCTCTGCTATGAAACAGAGGCTGAAACTAGGGTCCCCATGGGGAGAAGGTGAGAGGACATAGCAGAGGTGGCCGGGCCTCCCGCGGAGCTGTTACTGCTACAGTCAGGGTGTCTGAGGATGTCCTCCGCCGAGCGGGCCCTGGGTGACCTCCTCAGGAGCCCGCAGGCCACCGCGAGGGAGGGCCTGGCCTCTCCACAGGCTGGGACCGTGTGGCCAGGACTGTGCCCCAGTCCGTGGCAGTGGGGGCATCTCGGGCTCTCCCTTCTCTCCGCCAGGCCTTCGTCAAGATGGTTGGGCACCACGTCTCCTTCCTGGAGGCCCACGTGCTTCGGGCCGAGCGGGACGATGGGGCCTTCTCGCAGGCTCTGCGGAGATGGCTGGGCTCCGCCGGGCTTCCCTCCTTCAGGAGCGTGAGTATCTCCCCACCGCCTGCCTCCTCCCCGGCCCCAGAGTGGGGAGAGGGGCTCAGGAAGTGAGAGTTCAAAGGGCACATCTCACTTCCACAGACAGGAAACGGGCGTCTGGAAGGCTGGCTGAGGGAGCGCTGACCCAGGGCCCACGGGGGTTGGTCGTGGGGCAGCTGGAGTGTCTCTGTCCCTCCCTTGAGTAACTCTTCTTGCCCTGAGGTTTGAGCTTCAGTGCTGTGACCACTCGCTTATTTATCCAACCATTGAGCACCTGCTGTATACTGAGCACTGTGGTCCTTCTGGGATTACCGCAGTGAGCAAGGACAACCCCTGCCCTCCTGTCCTGTCTTTATACCCCTAAGGACAGGCTCAGGGTGACATTCAGAACTCAGGGTGGGTCCTTCTCCTGAAGGCACAAGTTACCCTCCAGCAGACCAGAGGGGCCGAGGTGGTAGAGGGCTGGGGACGTGGGGTGCTGGGGGATGGAGGGCCAGCCTGCTCGTGGCCCTTTGTACCTTGCAAAGGTCTCTTCCCTCCACATCTCGGCTTCTTTGGGATCCTCCCTACAACCCCAAAGAAATTATTGTTTTATCCCTTTTACCAATGGGAAGCCTGAGGCCAGACTGATTCTGCAGTGGAGATCTTCAGTGTTTAAGACACACCTGTCTTTGCCACTTGTTATCTGCTGGCTTCCCAGTCCAGGGGACACTGGGCAGTGTCTGGACATATTTTGGTTGTGAGCTGGATGTGGGGTAGGGGGTGCTGCTGGCATCTACTGGGTAAAAACCAGGGGCAATGGGGCACCTCAGTGGCTGAGTCTGTTAAGTGTCTGCCTTTGGCTCAGGTCAGGATCCCAGTGTCTCGGGATCGAGCCCTGCATCAGACCCCTGCTTCTCCCTGTATACACGTTCTCATTCTCTCTCAAATAAGTAAGTAAATCTTTTTTAGAAAAGAAAGAACCCAGGGGTGCTGTTAAACACTCTGCACCGTCCAGGAAGACCCCCCACGTCAGAGGCTTCTCTAGCGTGCACCTGAGTAGTGCCAAGTCTGAGAAACCCCGCCCAAAGCCGCCTCCGGTCATTGTCACCATGGTTCCTGTCAGGCCTCTTCCAAGTGCTCCATCTGCTGGTTTCTGGGGCACCTCTTCTCAGACCAGTCTCTGGAGGAAGGACCTTTATCATCACCCCCTGCTTTACAGATGGGGAGACTGAGGTTCTGGGAGGAGAAGGGACTTGTGCGAGGCCACACAGCCCGGTGTGGCAAGGCAGGATTGGACCCTGGTTGACCTGTCTCTGGGGCCTTGCCCTTCACAGCTCAGCCAGCTGCCCTGTCCTGCCCCTCAGCAGGGTCTCTCACTGTTCCTGGGGCCTACCTGGGGGGTCCCCTCTCCGCTCCTCTGACCCCCTGCCTGCCTGCACATCTCCACTTTGTTGACCGTGTTCCAGGCACTGCTCTAGGCATTTCGTGGGTGTGGATTCATTTGCCTTTCCCAGATGTCACGTGCACTGGCCGTGACCATGATTCCGACCGGATAGGAGGTGCAGTGGAAGCTCGGAAGGTTTCAGCAGCTACGCTCTCGCAGCCCACCAACAGCGTTTAGCTGGTGTACTCCGTCCTCTTTGGCCAGGCAATGTTATTTCAGCGGTGTGAATTGGGATACCTGATCAGGCTTCCCTATCTAGTCCCTGCCGGGACCCCATTGCTCCATTTGTCTTACAGCTGCCTGAGGCATGTGCTGCTCTCTTGCCTGCCTCCAGGTGAGTCACTCGCCCAAGGCCAGTAACAGCCAGACAGTGGCCTCGCAGAGCTCATGGTCTTGAAACTCCTATTAATCCTTTAGAGCCTAAGTTAACACCACCTCCTCTGAGAAGCTCTCTGGGATTGCCCCACCTCCAGGCAAAGGCTACCTTCTGTCATCGAACAATGATGAAGTCCGGAGCTGCTTCTCTGTCCCCCTCTCCCTTGAGCTGTGGTGACTATTCCTTGGTAAACAGGAACCCACCCAGTCACGCAGTGCTCTGCCCACCGATGTTCAGAAGTACATCGGGGGAAAATCAGAGGACTGCCCATGGCCTCCAGCAAGACTTCTAACAGTGGGTTCTTTTGGGCCCTTGGTCTTTGCACTTTCCAGTCTTTTGCTGTGATCTGCTGTTGTCCCCATGTGGTTGGCCCTAGTGTCCCCATTTAGATGTGGAGACTAAGGCTGAGATAGAGAGTCATATATCTGAACTCAGTGCTGGGGTTGGAACTCAGGCCCGCAGGCCTCTGAAACTGGGGTTCCCCTGCCCACTCCTGCAGCAGGATCCCACGTAGGTGTGGCTGGGCATGCTGGGACCTGCGCCCTCTCATGTCTACCAGCCAGCGGGAGGGGGGGCCCCCAGGTTTACCTGCGGTGACTTGTTCCAGGAAGTGCATTCCAGCCAGGGGTGGTGAGTCATTCAGCAACCCAGCAGGTTCAGCTTAGCCCCAGGAGAGCTTTGTCTGGGGCAGGTGGTGCCCATTGTTGTGTGCACGCGAGTGTGTGCAGACCCAAGGATGTCCAGGGCTGCACCTGCACTGAGGGTGTGAGCCGGAGGAGCCCTTCTAGCACAGTGGTCGTCACAGCTCGTGTTGGGGCCCTGACTCTGCAGGCACCAGATGTTCCCCCCCGGGAGGTAGGTCTGTCACTGTCCCTATCTTACGGAGGAGGAAACTGAGGCAGAAAGACTCAAATAGCTTGTCCACCCAGAAAGTCGGGAAGCCAGGATACAGATCCGTGAGTGCAGCCTGGGCTCTGGGCAGGTAACCTGCTCCGCTCAGCCCTGCACTCTCGCTATGCCCGGTTCTGGACCTGGGACCGCTGTCTGGGAGATGGGGGCTCTCGCAGAGTACGGGGTGGGTTCCCCCGAAGCCAGGATTCCACACTGGGCTCAAGCCGCTTCCTCTCAGTGAGTCCACACAGGCCTTCCTCCCCTGCACAGTGGGAAGCCGCCCCTCACAGCCCCAGATTCCATCTCCTGCCCTCATTCACCCTCTTTAGACTCCCTCCAAGGGTCCCCAAGGGTCCCTGAGGGCCCCGTGGAGTGAAGGACGAGACAGGGGCTCTCGGTCTCCCTTGGCCCTGTGGGAGTGCTGGCAAGGGGTCCCGTCCCTCTAAGATGAGCCATAGCACTCCCCCAAAATCCCGCCAACCATCACTGCCCCCTATGACCCTTCTGGAGTCAGGGGAGGGGTGGGAACACTCTCATGGGGCCCAGGAGGGAGGGCTCTCGGCCTTCATCTCTAGAGCTGGGCAGGGGCCTTTCAGGGTATGTTTTCCCTATTCCTGCTAGTCCATGAGCTGGAGCAGAAGCTCCTCGGAAGGCGGGGGAGGGGGGGCGCACACAGAGAGAAAACTGGTCCTTGTTTTTATTAACTTGGCCAGCCCGCCCTCCCTCCTTTCCACCCTCCTCCTCTCCCTCCTTCCTCACGTAGCTGGGGGCCCAGGGAGGGTACAGGGTAGCTGGGCCGGGGTCTCCCTGCACCCCAGGAACAGGGCCGGGAAGTGGTCCCTCTACCCCCAAGCCCAGGGCCAGGGACCCAGAGCAGGGTGCTGGCTGTGGCCTTGGCTGGCCTGAGGACAGCACCTCATCGCCGGCTCGCCTGAAACCCAGGCCTTTTACCTCTGACCTGAGCCGCCCGAGAAGCAGGCCATCTGTCCTCTGGCTGAGATGAGGGCAGGGCTGGCACCTCAGGCCGCCCCCGGCCCAAGAACGTGCGTGGTTCATGGTAGGATTTCACTGCCGACGCACATGTGTGTGCTTATGGGATGATGGTCTAGCTTCATGCTGTGCTGCGTTTCCCATTACACTTTTACACTGATTCTTATAACGTTCCAAGATTTTTACCTTATAACCTTTGGCTAAGCATGACACTTCTCTTGCGGTAGCCAGGCCCCCCCGTCTCCGGCGAATTGTAGCTGTGTGCATGGGCAGGTCCCTCGGCCTCCGGGAGCCTCAGACCGCTCAGCTGCTGGCTCACGGACCAGAGCACGACCAGGGACGTTCAGCCTGCCAGGGACCTGGCTCAGTGTTTGATGCAAGGGGACGAGGGCCTCCACCCAGGCAGTGGGAACAGAAAGGAAGAGAAAGACTCCAGAACTCTCCGAAGGACGGTTCTGAGTCTGAGCATCAGTAGACCCGAAAAGCCGGCTCTGCCTGGACATGAACGGAGTGACCCAGGACAAAGTGTCCAATTGTTCAGCGGGACATGGGTATCGTGGCGATGGAGACACAGAGCCAGGCCAGTGGCGGCACGCGCTGTCCTCAGCTGGTCAGTGCCCCAGAAGGTGGGGGTGTGGGGTTGCTGCTTTTATCCCCATTGCACAGGTGGGCCAACTAAGGCACAGAGAGGTTCAGTAATTTACCCAAAGTTACACAGCTGGGCATCTGGATACGAACCCACTTTCTTAACTCTGTCCTGCCTTGCCTTAGGAGAGAACTGTGATCTCTTCCCTCAGAGAGCCTGGTCTCGTGGGAAAGAATACAGGCGGTGACCAAATCCTAAGAAAATTCAGTATATAGTCATTTCGAAAGGGGGCCCTGGCTTGCTCTGAGGGAGCCAAGGATGGCCTCCGAGGAAGGGCCACGTTCGCTGGGACCCAAATGATGAGGAAGTCCGGGTGAAGTTGGGAGAAAAGGGCCCTGGATGGGGAGGGCACGTGGGGCGGGGCAACGGCAGGAAGTGCTGTGTGGCTTGGCCGAGGGAACAAAGGGGACAGTTAGGGGACATGAGGTCACAGCTAGGTTAGGCAGTGTCTCAGGCCACATGGAGGTGTTTTATACTATTCTGAGGGCAATGGGGAGCCATGGACGGGTTCATAGCAGGCAAGGGACATGGTAACTGTTTCGCTTGGAGAACCACCAGGCTCCTTTCCCCTTAGCTCGGGCTGGCGTCCAGGGTCGGCCTTGTTGTGTTGAGACCTGAACAGTGTCATGTGAGAACCGAGTGGGGCAAGTGGTACCGTCTGAGCTCCGGGGTTCAGT